CATATCTACACGTATACACGTGTTCTCAAATATAACTAGGAAAGTAAATGACGGACTGGGGGGAAAGAGAGAGAGAAGTCATTTAAAGAAGAACTAAAAAATAAAACATCATTTAAAATTAACTTCAAAGTTCAAGGAGAAAAATGAAAAAATATTTTTTAGTAGAAGAAACATGTTCACTGTTTTTAACGTTGTGTACAATACATAATTTAAATTTTAATTAAATTGATTATTTAATTAAATTATTGATGCGCACTCAACAAATTTTAATTTTTAATACAACACATGTTTTTCCGAAAATCAAGAAAAAATGACAAAGATATCTACTTGTGCCTTTTTGTTTTAAAATAAACAAAAACAAATGATACATATAAAGGATTTTACTTAATAATAATCAGTAATAAATAGCTAATTGTTGGGTAATGTGAGTCGCTACTAAAATAAATCATCGGTTCGTTCACCCGATGATTTCTTTAAAAAATCTTTCTAAATACAAAAAAATAAATGTAAACGTTTTACGGTTTTTTTTAATTTTAAACCAACCTGCATTTTTTATCTCGATCAATCAAAACTTATTTTTAGTTTACTTGCCCAGAGCTGGATTATGACCTTTTGATGCCCCTAAGCTAATGAAATTATGAGGCCACCCACCGACGGAGTCACCACCCTACCTAACAGTAACTTGGCCGCACCCGTCATGAATATTTTTTACTCGTGTGTATTTTTTAACGGCACTTAAACTTGAAGCAGTTAAAAACAGAAACTTATTACAAATTCTTTGAATAATCTATTCTAGAATAGCTATCTTTTGTTTGTCAATAAAAATATTCTTTAAGAATCACCACTTGCAAACCAAAAATTAGCACATATTTCAGCCCAACCGTAGTAAAAATAAAAATATGAAAAGATTTTTTTATAACCAGCATTATAACAATAATAAAAAAAACACAATCAAATGAGTTTGTCATATTGATCATTTCAGTTTATGAAATTATTTTGAAGTTATAACATCTAGAAAATTCATTGCTTAATAAAACTTGAGGAACCCTAGGCTAACTTAATCTACTAATAATAACTAATAATTTACAAAAAAATAAATGATAATCCAGCCCTGACCTTGACCCCACATTACTGTAAATAAGTTAATACTTTCTTGGTTTTTTTAGAAAAAATAAACTAATAAACACATTCACGTCATCAGTTCATTAATAGCTTTTTAAATTGCTTTTTAGAACATAAGAAAATGTACCAGATTACATTTCAGCTTAAGATCGATCGATATATATTCGTCACTTTCACCTGTATTTTAGTTAGATTTTCTGGCTTTAGAGATGCCAAATTAATTTTTTTTTTTTACTTTTCTAAAATTAGTTTTAATTTCTATGATACTCTTAAAGAGTTATTTTAAAAATGCTAAGCCCTACTTTACAACTGAAGTGATTCCTTGATGACACTTCTCTCCTTGTTTGGCGAAAAAAAAAAAAAAAAAAAAAAGAAATAAACAAATATTCGCATGAAAGCGGACAGAATTTTGTTTTAGTTACTCCTCTTGACAGTAAAGGTTTGTGACGAACAGTACGTTGCTGATACCATTGTATATTGTTGAACTGCAATCATCACAGATGTCTTCAGTTTTAAAAGATAAACTGAAGGTCATGGGTTAACTAGTAAAATCATTAGAAGGCACAAATTGAAATATTTGTCGATATTCGGCTTTCGAAATTTATAACTCATTAAAAAAAAAACCATTTTGAACAACAACAATCGATACCCAATAAACTTTTTATGTGTATGTTGGCAACTGACCATTCTCTATTGTTGCCTCTTTTTTTTTTTTAACTAAAATTAATTATTTAATTTTTTTTATTTATTAATCAAGACTTCAAAAATTTTAATTTTAATGACACCCTTTGAAAATGAGTCATCGGGCACACACACACACACACACACACACACACACACACACACACAAACATTGCTTTGGGTGTTGTATGCCATGTCCCACCAAGATTTGGGAGACCATGGCTCTCCACATCTTCCTGTTTTCTGTTGCTTTACGTAACTTTTGACTTTTTTACCATCCTTTTTTTTTTGGTCTTCCACCAAAGCTGTCACGTCGAGCCTGCTCACTACTTAGATGAGTGACAGCTTGGGAATAACAAACGCTGTAAGCATGGATCTACGTGTGGTGTAAGTAATTGATAATGGCTCGGAATTGTTAGTTAATAATCGGACCGCTGAGTTCCAATTCCAGTTGGGTTCGTTATATTCACTTAAGCGTAAATACCCTTAGGAACAGTAATGAATAATCCGCCTCTTTTTTCCCAACTATGGGTTGATTAGTAAGACTTTCTTATTATCTTTAAAAAATCTTACAATCTAAAAATATTTGCTGGCTTTAAATAACCGGCAAAGTGTTAATAAATCGTAAAAAACGAATCCATCATGCATTTTTGTCATTGTTTAATGTTTATGTTCTGCCATAAATTCCCTGAAACATTTTAAGTTTAGGATGAAAATATTATTTTCCGGTGATGTTTCTTTTAGTTACAGTATGGCGATGTCATTTACTAAGTTTATTTTGGTACAAGGCCACGAATATTGGGGCACCCAGTGAAAATCATACTCACTACTCAGTAGCAATATAGCCAACCACACTAGCCCACTAATCATTACCCCATGCTGAGATATTCTTTAAATATTTACCAAGCATAGCTAAGTTTGGCACAAGGTCACAAGTATAGGGTTACCTAGTGAAGATCGAACTCCCTACTCAATAGTAATTTAAATTCAACAACACTCATTCGCTAATCTTTAAACGACATTGAGGCATCCGTTTTAAATATTTACTAAGGTTAGCTTAGTTTGACATACACCTTGGGGTACTCAGTGAGGATCAAATTCCAGACTCGGTAGTAATAATAATAAACGGACTAGCTCGCGTAAATTTTATGATGTCATTACATTCGAAAAACTATTCAGTGTTTTAATGATTGTTATTCGCATTGTAGGTCCTAGGATTATTAGATCAAATAATAGAAGAGAGATTGTGTTGCGTGATTCTGTGTTAGCTTTTTAGTGTTTTGTAGATGAGAAATTAAAGTTCTGTCCCTTTCCCGAGATCAAACACGGACCACTGTCGTCGGTAGCAAATATGGCACCAGTCAGCATTTCTCCGAAATTGCGGCCACTGAATTTTCACTTTTCATTTTTTAACTTCGATTAAATTAAATATCAAGGGACTATTTTTTTTTTCGGAAAAGTAAAGACGACGAGAATTGTTTAAATAATAAACATATCTTCGTGTCTGCTTTTTTATGTTAGGTAATTTTTCAACAGGTTTATTTTCTACCTGAATTTTTGAGATGAAGGAGTTACCTGGACCATTATTTACATTCGCACTAATGTCCTCACCGTTGTTTTTTATTGTCACACCGTTTCATCAGTTCTGCACACGAGCCTTCTTCGGGTGTCTGTCGATAGGGACAACCTTCAGGAATTTTCCAAGTGAACCCTTTCTTTAATCGACGAGCTCATGTCTACTTGTCTAGGGATATCTCGTCTTGTTACTGGTTAATTTTTATTATTCCTGTTATCATTGAGTCCAAGTCTGTACTACCTGGCCCAGGAATCGAACTCACTTACTATACCACCAAATTCAAGAACCAAGTCTAGCTATTATTGTCTCTATATGATAACAACAATGATGAGGACATTAGTCTGAATGTAGTAAATTTAATAATGTAAAATAAGTAGATTATTATATTCTTTTAAAAATGTAAATATAAAAAAATAAAATTGCTATAAGTAATTTACTAAGCATAGGCCGAAAGCATGTAGCACCCAGTGAGGATCGAACTCACTATTCACTCGTACGCGATCTCACGAGACAAGCTTGCTAGCCATCATTACACCGCGTCGAAGTGCCCAAATATTGTGATTTAGTAAGCATAGTTGTGGCACACGGCCGAGATTAAGGAGTACCCAGTGAGGATATTCATTACTCAGTCGTAAATGATCTCTAGCGAGATATATGCTTTATTACACCACCTTGAAGTTTCCAAATCTGTATTGAAAAGGTTATTCTTCTTAGCCTTTGTAAAAATGGAAAGAGATGCGGCTTTAAAAAAAATAAGTTCGATTCTTTAGGGGTGCTCTGCTAATCTCTACTCTGTTCTTTTGCTAAATATGGTTGTAAAATGTTTCTCTGTGTACGTGGGCACGCTAGAGTCCACTCCAGTCAATTCGTGTCAGGTGTTCGATCCTCACAAACGAATTCTTTTTTTTTATGCCAAGCTAACCTAGTTTAACTATTTTTAAATCTTTCGACTTCAAATTAAGTTAAGCGACAGAAGCCTTTTATCGAAAAGTGCTAAGCCCGTCTACTTTTCGTTTTGACAACAACAAAAAAAATGCAACTGGCTGACAATGACATTGCTCGATGACACCGTGACACGACACTCCTTTCTTTTCTTTTTTATTTTGTTGAAAAATGCGGAAAAAATGCACAATGAAGAAGAAATAAGCTATTAATTAATTAAAGAAGAAACTCACTTATGGATTAATATATCATTAATTCACCATCAAAGAATAGATTAACAAAAAAAAAAAAAAAAAAGTATTAGTTTGTTACACTTGTTGCCCAGTGCGTGTTTCTAACAACAACAGTTCGTGAAAAGAGGAGAGGGGGGGAGTTTCGAAGTACTAGCAGCAGCAGCAGCAGGCAACCTTATAAATACGAGGCAACCAGTTTGTTCGGCTCTTGTGTCTTAAGGTTCGCAACTGTGCGAAGCAATAATTATTTTCTTTTTTTTAACTTCTCCATTCATCTTAGTAGTTCTTTAACTACACGTAACAAGTGTGTACTAGCAGCATCTGACTTTGTGAATATCTTCTGGTTTAAAAAAAAAAAAGATTTTTTTTCCAAATTTTGGGACTTGTTTTTATCGCGCTTGTTTTTGAACCATTTATCACCATCTAAGCTTAAAAAAAACTCGAAGATGTCTTGTCAAATTAGTAAGTATTGTTTTTGTTGCCTTAAATGATCTAACTGGATCATACTTTTACTTACCTTTTGAATTTGAATGCCTTTTTCTTTATTTAAAGTAAAAAGAGAACATTACCATTCAATTGTTTTTTTTTATCACAAATTTCTGAGAGATTTCTATTTGCAACGAAATTACCATCAGAATTCTTTTATTTTGATTTGAAAAACTTGCGACTTAATATAATTTTTGAATGTTTCTTAAAAATTTCATACAATTAACTTTTAAGTTTTATCTCAAGAAGTCGTATGTTTTAGCACATTTTTTAAAAAACCACTTAATTCTGCAGTTCTGTTAAAGAAACGTTAATCTGGACACTTTCTGATGTAAACACACATGACCAATTTTGCTTGTTTCTAGAAAAGCTTATTTATTTATTTCCAATATTCCAATGCGATGGGCTTTTCACCCTTTTTCATAGAAACAATCATTTTAAATTTATTTATTCCTTTCCAAAGAAAGTTTTCTACTCCAACCAGTGAAGAAGAATTATTTTTAAAAATTCTGCTCATAACATTATTTGTTTTTGTACACTATGGTCCTTCCAGTTTAAAAGTGCTGAGAGTGATTGTGTTTTCTTTTATCTTTTTAATAAATTTCACTCCGAAAGTTTGCATTCTTATCTGTACCAAAACAAAAATAGTGATTGGCTAATTAGACGAAGTAAGTCTCTGGAAGTTTTTCCTTGTAATTAAATTATTTAATTTTCCAAATCATTAATTTCCCGATTTTATTCGGTTTTTAATTGATGCACTCTTTGTTTTTTTTTCCGTCTCTTGGCTTTTTATTAGATTCGTTCTTCTCTTCTCTTTCTTAAAAATAAGATAAATTAAAAAAAGAAAAAAAAAGCGAATTTCTACGTATTTAAACAAAGTCATATTTTTAAATTAAAAAAAACTATAAACTCTATATATTTACCTATAAACTTTGAATTAGAAAGTTCAAATAAAATAATCGTAAATGTGGGTAATTTTTTTCTAACTATGCAAAAAAAAAAAAAATGTAAATAAAATCCTTTTAAAAGTGTTGTTCACAATTGAAAATCCATGGTTAATTCAATGACCTGCAAAAGTAACTCTTTATACAAGACTTGATTAACCTAAACTCTAAAGAAATATGAAATCCAACTGACGGTAACCTGTTCGTCAAATTGTTAAACAGAAGAAAAACAAGTCAGAATCCATAAAAAAACGTAAGTTAAGTTGCTGAACACGCTTGAAGCGTAGTAGTAAATCGTAGTAGTGTTACGTCAGCGATGACAAATAGTTTTCTCAGCCAATCAAATTTCAGTCACGCGCGCACATACTACTTATGATACGCACATGGTCGTTCATATACGCATATATAATATCTCGGGAAATTTCTAACGCATTTTTACTGATTCGAACGTATTCATCAAGTACCGTTATCCACATTGTTTCTTTTATCGATTTGTAAGGTCTGCCTTAGTGGACTGATTGATCGATCCATTCGTGTTGACTATTGAAACATTTTATGGTTTTATTATTATTTTTTATTTATTCATTTCTTCCCAGTCAGAACGACTACACTTACAGTGTACACTACAGTTCAGTACACCAAGATTTTTTTTCTGTTTTAGTTAGAAATAAGGTTTGTGTGTGTGTGTGTGTGTGTGTGTATGTGTATGTATGTGTGTGTGTGTGAGTGAGTGAGAGAGTGTGTGAGAGAATTAACTAGACTTACAAAATTTAAGTTTTTCTCTACTCATTGCTTTGTTATTTTTGATAAAAGTTTTTTCTTTTTTGGGGGGGGGGATCAATTTTTTTTCTTTTTTTAAATTCCAACCATTTTATTTTTAATTTTTAAATCGGACGTTAGTACATATGTCAACGACGCACTCCTCTTAAAACCGCATTTTTTTATAAAAGTACTGATTATGGATCCTGGAGGACCTGATCTTCGGCTTTAAGGACTGAATTTAAATTTTAAAAAAAAGGTTTAAAAAATAAATTTAACTAAATCCCCTTTTGTCAATGTTCTCTATTTTACAAACGTCATGTTCCTTTTTTGTTTTTGTTTTATCATCATCTCACAGATTCGTCGGACTTTTAGAGAGTGAGTCTTCTTGACAGAAAGTGGAATGCCCACCCTTGGGAACAAATAGGGTCAGGGCCTTAGGGACAATAGGACCATAACAGTAACACTGTCCCGTTTTATTTTGTTTCATATTTTAAGCTGGTTTCTTCTACACTGTGTGTAAATTATTCAGTAATAATAATAGTTCTATGCATCAGTGCCTTGGTTAATAGACCAATGGCCAATAATACTACAACCCGGGTATTTAATACTTTGTTTTCATGTCTAGCCCTAGAGATAAAAACTTAACGACCAACAGGCTCAGCGGTTAGTGAGAGATTATTTCAAACTGAAATTTTACTCGCACTGATATTGACAAGACATTTAATCTGTTTTTGTTCTCATTTCTAAGGATTGGTTGTTTTTATTGTGCTCTCCTGAAACACTCCTGTCTCTCCTCATTGGGGACAATAAACAGAAACCCAACTCCTTCCTTGCTTTTTAGTCGACAGACAAGCCTAGTTATGAAGTACAAAAAAAAAAAAAATCAATTTATAGCTGGTTCAACTTGGTGGGTGAAATACTCGCGTTTTTTGTTGTTTTTTTTTCCAAATTAAAGTTAGTAATTCGAATCCGCACTTTTGGCTAAGATTTTCTCTGGCAAGCAGACATGTTCTTCATTTCTGCTCTCGTAAAAGAGCCACTTCAGAAACCATATTAAGTATGGCACAAGATAACAGCTTTCTAACTTTTGGATACCAAGTGTCAGGTGATGCTTCAATCATTATTTACTCTGTAATGTCATGATCAAGAACTACAGTGGTGGTGAACTCTAATTTTAATATTAACACACTATACCAAGTGCTTTATTATTATTATTAGTAGTAGTAGTATTGTTGTGGAATTGGTGAACCGAGTTCAAATTCTGATCTAGTCTGTACTCCTCACATTCACATTAACACCCTTGGAGAAACATATGGTGATGTTTCTTCTTCCACCAGCTATGACTTAACAAGGTAGGCTAGAGTCTCTAGCCATGGTTGTTAATCAGTCTAAGAGAAGGAATTCCAAACCATTGAAAGGACAACAGGGGAAACCACTTTGCTATTTTTCTTGAGAAAGTCATTACAATTCATCAGTAATGAAGAAATGAAATGAAAGGATTCTTGTACTCAGAATCAGAAAGAGACAACTAAAATTTCTAAGACACTTAATAAATGAGGAAGGAGGGCTTGGAAAATTTGTCATTCACAGGACATCAAAGATAAAATGGACAGAGGGAGACAGCAGGCCACCTACTTAATGAGCTTATAGGAATTAATGGCAGAAGAGTGAGTGGAAAGGATGGTAAAAAGAATTGTATAAGATAGGAGATTGTGGATAGCCATGATCATCCACATCTAGAGGGGCATGACACATAAAAGAAGCTATGAAAGGTCATGATCCCCTACCTCCTAAAGAGGCAAGGATTTAAAAAAATATTATTATTAATAATAGTTGTAGTAGTAGCAGTAACAGTTGTTAGTAGTAGTAGTAGTGGTGATAGTGTTAACATTATTATCTTGCTTTAATAAACAAAGCAAGATCAGATTTCATAGTTTTTCACATTTTGACATAAATAATATATAAGTAGATAAGTTTGCCTATCGGCTAGTTTACATTTCTTCTCTGTCTTTTTGAACAGTAACAGAAATGTATCATTTCTTTCCGGTTTAGAATTTGTTTTTTTTTTTTTGTTTTTTTGGTTCCTTGTAAAATCTTTTCATTCTCAGTTCTCTCTTGCACCATAGTATCATTATTGCCTTGCTTGGGGTGAATTGATTTTACAAAAATATATATAAATATATCTGCTAAACTTCATTTTTCATTCAAGTTTAAAAAGAAGCCCCTAAGTTTTGTGTGTTCACATGCTCCATTTACTTAAAGCTGTTGGTGTGAAATAAGAATTTTTTTTTAAAATCAGAAATTAATTGCTTTTAGGATAAATATAATAGAATTCTTATTCTTAATCTCTGGGATGAGGAATTATCATTATTTACATAAATTTAAACTCTGACTTTTGTGCTAATTTTTGTTATTATCACCATGTTTCAGCTATTGTGCTCTCTTGCCTACATCAGGTGCTTGTTGATCACAAAAGGAATTTTGAACTGAAGCTTTTATTTAATCTATAGGAGAATTTTGTTCTTATTCCACTGACCATGTTTAAGGGTACTGTGTCTAGTTCATAGTTCAATGCAAATGCAGCAAGCATTAACTAAGCAGTACTAAATATACAGTTTGAATTTCCCTGGAGGTTACATGATCAACAAGCACCTGATGAAGGCAAGAGAATACAATGGACAAAATGTTGTGATGAAGACAATAGTCTGAGTAAAAATTTTAATTATAAATTTTGTATCATTGCAACATTGTCCTCGAAAAGCCTGACTAAAGCTGTTGTCAATAGGATAATGTTAATTTTATGCTCAGTTTTTTGTGTTTCTTCAATTTGTTATGTGAATATAAAGTGGTCTAAACAACTTTGGAATTTTGACAGTTTGAGAAAAAACAAATTTCTCTGTTTTAAATATTTCATTTTTCTATCTTTTTTTTTTCTTTTCCAAGCAGATTTCCCTGCCATTGATCAGTATCTGCAACTATCTCAAAGCCACACGGACATTTACTCAGAATGTTTAAGGGTAAGTTGGACATGCAGCATAAATATTTGAAAATACTTTCAATGTCAAAAGCCACATACATCTAGTCAACCATGTACCTTCCTTAACTCTTTGGCACTCTGTATTATTAATATTACTTCCCCTTCCACTGCATTCTTTTCCAAGGCCTCTCAATTGCAGTATCTTTATTGTTAATTTCACTCACTTGTTTTCTGTTGCCATAGCATGATATGACAATAGATCTTTGAAATTCAAACAAATTTAGTGGAAGGATAAAATTTTTGTAAAGCAAATGAAATCACATACATAGTGACAAAGGTTAAAAAAAAAGCATTGGTTTTACAAAACAAATATGTATGAGCACTTAAAAGTTCCTGGTTTGGTTGACTCCCCAATAATCCAGTCTTCTGTGATATGGTAATTATTCCTCTTTCAAATGGTTTATTTTAGAGGTGTGAAAAACAAGTGCTGGGAAGGAACAATTTTAAAATGCCATAGAGCTCTAAATAATGGTTTAAATTGTTTGAAACTTTGCAGGATAATTCTTTTACCTTTTATTGTCTATTGTAAATTTTTATTGGGTCTGGAACTAGTGACATCATCAAAAATGAGTTTGAAAAGTAAATAAACCAAATTCTTCAGTCCAATAGTTTCATTTACAATGCAAAGAATTCATACTGAATGTACTTTGAATTATTTGTCTACGGAAGTCCAAACATGTTGGAAGACTAAAGTAAGACTATATATAATTTTCTAAAATTACCAAAATCTTCATACCAACAAATCAACTGATGTCAGCAATAATAAAACCAAGGTAGTATTCACTGTTCTCACTTATCTGTAGAATTACTCAACAAAATCTTTTCACGGGTCTAGTTTTAGTAACATAGTTTTGAATCAATACTTCAAACATAAGAGTTAATTAGAAAGAATTTTATCATTAAATTGTTATCTCCAAAAGAAAGATTCCTACAATCTAAAAATGGCTTTAAATACCCTTCAATGAGTTGATAAGCTGTAGAATATGTATCAATCAATAAAAGTAAACTATAATAAAATCAACTATAAGAAGTGCAATATTTTCTGGCTATAAATAGCCTACAAAAGGTTGATAAGTTGTCAAAGATGAATGAATGAATCAAAACAAATTTTAAAAGGTTAACAGTGGGGTTCCAGTTTTATATGTAAATTAATTATAAATTGATCCCAACAAAATATATCATGTGATTACTTTAAATTTTTTTTTTCAAAAATATCATAATCTGGATCAATAAACATATAGTAATATATGAAAAAAAAGTATTTTTTAAATTTGTCTAAATTCTAAGAAATTATATGTTATGTATTTTACAATACCTTTCCTGCCATTTTCAATGAATTATTATTTTTCTTTACAGACTTCACCATATATATCTTCAAGCCCAATGAATATAAAGAATGAAGACCCTTTCTTGGCAAATGAAAGCTATGAGAAAATGCTGCCACCAATGATACCAATCAGTTATCAGAATGTGGATTCAGTACCTGATTCCAATTCCAATTATCTCGCCGAGCACTCTCCAGAACTCTTGGATTTGGATGACATGAAACCAGACATTCTACATGATTTTATACACTCATCAAATTCAACTGATCATTACAACACAGGTGAGGTTTTAAATCAGTAAAATATTTCCTTATTCCTACTAACACAAATTCTTCTCTTGTTGGTTTCTTCATTACTATGTTATATATATATATATATATATATATATATATATATATATATATATATATATATTATGGGGGAAGATGACATATAAACTCTGTATATTGCTCCTGCATTGAGTTTATCAATAGAATGACACTTGGCTACAGTGAACCCAGAACCACTTTGCTAGATTGAGAATATTAGAAAGAAACTGTCTAATTGACCCAGACTTGCATCCAGCCGAACTAACTAATATATCACCCTAATGGTGGATAACTGAATGACAAAAAAGTGGGGGGATCCTATGCAATGTGTTATGTCCTTTGAAAGAACTTCAAACTAGATAATGGAATTAATGATGGCTTTATATATACAAGTTTTTATCAAAAAGTTTAAGGACTGTTGCTACAGTAAAAGAGTTAAAGTGCACAGAGTGAAGCTGCTTAGCACAAATTGTCCTTGAACTCTGCTGCACATGCACACCAAGTTATAACATTGTTGCTCACTTCTGTTGTTTACAGCAGTGATTGGAAGGAAAGTGTATAGAGTGTGGTCCTCTCACAACACCACTGAAGTTCCAGTGACCATGGATTGTGCAGCAGTTTTTGGCCAAGGACAACATTCCCCAGGTCTGGCAAACACCATATTCTCCAGATTTTGTCTATTGCAACTTTTTTCTCTTCAAATGTCAAATCCCATTTGAAAGTAACAAATTTCAAGACATTGAGCCAATCCAAAAGAATGAGGAAGCTGCCCATTATCCTAAAAAAAGGATTTCCAGGCATGTTTAAATCCATAGAAATGACACTGGATAAAGTGTGTGGCTTATGAAGGGGACTGCTTTGAAGACGATTAAATGCTGGTTTGATATGTGTTGTAATTTTCTCTTTATAGTACTAGTCCTGATATTTTTTGATCAGACTTCATATTTAGAGGGAGGGAACAAAATATAAACAAATGTTTGTTAATTTATATGCTGAGAGAAATGCTAAAGTTGCAGGGACACAACTTTAAACTTTAAATTTATGGTTTCCCATGTGTCTTGATTATTTGGTCTGAAGAAGTCCTTTTGAAGGTCAAAACATCACAGAGGATTTTTTTCTGTTTTGTCATTCAATTACCAATACACCTATATATCAGACTTATTGTGGGTAATCAAACAACAAAATGAAAAACACCTAAATAATTTGTTTCTAAGTAAAACGTTCTTTTGGGGACAAAACCCATTACTTTGGATTTTTTTATTTGGTAATCTTGTATCAAGTCCTGTCATCTCATTGTGGTCTTGTTAACCTTTAACATACTGGAGGAGATTTTGCTTGCAAAGTGAAAATTGTATCCTACCACTGCAAGTGACTCAGATTAATGTATAATAGTGTGTTTGAATTTTGCAGTTGTGTTGCCATATTCTGCTATGGCAACAGAAAATGACCATGACTGAAATTAAATAGTGCAGTAGAGGAGCCCTGAAAAACAATGTAGTAAAAACAAAAGTAATGAATAATGCAGAGTGTTAAAGGTTAATAATATTACTGTGAGATATATAAAAAGGGTCGATAAATGTTTATTCTTATGACATTGAATATCTTTTAATTCAAACAACTGTAGAACATTTAGAATGGAGCAAATAATGAGTGATTTTTAAAATGAGTTCTATGTGCCATGTTCCTTCAGGATATGGGTGATTATGGCTTTCCACAACTTCCTGTACTTCCTATATAAGAGCTTAGCAATGTTTACCTTTTTATTCTCCTTTCCTCTCCTTGTTCTGCTATCCATTTACATAAGCTTTTTACTTAGTTACTTGATGTTTCCCTCTTGCTTCCAATATGTCCTGTGAGGGGCAAATTTTCCAGACCTTCTTTCCTCATGACATGTTCCAGAATTTCTTTCAACTCTCTCCTTCTGATTCAAGGTATAATAATCCTTTATGCTTTCATTTCCCTGAAAACTTCCACATTGCTTCATGCTTTGTCCATGGTATTTATTCTCAGCATCCTTTTGTATAAGCCATGTTTCTGCTGCTTTCCTCCTCATCTGTGAGAAAATAGTCCAGCATTCACAACAATATGACTGATATTAGATAGCAGTTCAAAAACTCTTCTCTTTATTTCCAATGAAGTTTTCCTGTTTCTTCATACTTTTATTTTTTTAGAAAGAGTACTTTGCAGAGAAAAAAAAAAGAAATTTTCATCTCTTAGTATTTTAAAATCAATTCTTCATTTTATCCACAAATATTTTCTGTTTTCACCTGTGCCATCATTTAGTTATTTTCATTTTATATTTCTAAAGTTTAGCATTGGTTCCTGTAGGTTCTCCATTAAGCCATTGGATTACACCTATACTTGCACTATTATATAGCACCACATCTATTCTTGTTCTTTTACCAGGGCTTGGGATTCCTGGTTTTTATAAGAGTATCTTTCTTTTAAGATACATGGATAGTGTAACATATCAGAGTGGAATTGGTAAGCCAAGTTCAAATTTGAGGCTAGACTCTTATGTTTCCTTTTGCACTAATGCCCTTGGGAAAGGCAAGAATACATCTCTTTTCCCCATCCCTCAAAGACACTTACTTTTTTTCATATATTCTGACCAATTTGCATAAAGTTTGTCTTTTCTTGATCTTAGATTAAAACTTGGAAAATTTCAAACATATTTCAGTGAAATTTTAACTTTCCAGCTTAAGACTTTACTGAAGATAAATGGTGAAAAAGAAAGAAAGGTGTTGGTTTACAGAAATGCCTAGAGATCAGAGGTTAAATTTCTGCAAATAGTTCATATGTTTCACTTATATATTTTGTCAAAACACAGCTTTAAAAATTTTGCTTCACTTTGAAAAGTTCCCTTTAAAAAACTTCATGTCATTTTAAAAAATTATTAATGCCAGTAAGTGTAGTAACAATACAAAAAAAATGTGATGAGTACATAAAAACATCAAATTTCAAAAGTGCTGCCTATAATAAAAGAAAAATATACAGAACTATTGTGGCATAGAGACTTTAATATTGAATACTGAAATCTGGACGGGGAATGATAAATTGATGCTTTTTTCCCCATCTTAACAAGTTGACTGTCAGAGGTCAATTATGAAATCTGACATCAAGCACAATTTATGATAACCAATTTAGGTGATAAAATCTTTTTTATGAGTCAATTTATAGCTTCACTTGCAGTGTTAACATTATTTTCCCACTTAAAATTATCACTGTGCAATTTACAAAATGTTTGCTTGGTTGTTCAACTGTCAAATAACAAGAACCATCCAAGAATAGATGGTGGAACACAGTATTATTTAGAAACTATACCACCAGCTGGGAAGAAACAACATCCAACCAGAACCTGTAGAGTTTGTGCAAAATACAGCACTTTTGTACTATTTGTAAAGACAAAATACCTCTCTACATTGTTGGACTTACTGCCATATAATGTTGAAACATTGGTTCCTGTATGATTACCAATTAAGCAATGTAGATCCTGATCAGTACTTTGATGGATGACCACTTAGGAATACCAAATGCTGTAAGCTTGGATGTGTTGGTGTTTTAAAGGACAATGGCTCTGAATTGTTAATTGGAGTGCCAAGTTCCAATTCCAGTTGGGTTTGTTATGTAAGACTTGTTTCATTAAATCATTATCTCATAAAAAAAATTTTAAATCTTTCTGGCTTTATATAACCTTCAAAGAGATTGATAAGCTGTAGAAAACGAATCAATATGCATTGTTGATTGTTTTAAAAGTTCTTGTATGAGAAGCACCAAGTTTGGAAACTGTTCATTTCTGCTGCTTTTCAAGGGTTTCGTTTAGGTTAATTTTTCCGTAAATTTTTGGCATAAAATTTTTTTTTTTTTTTTTAGTTGCCAGTACAATTTTTTAATTGTTGTTCCTACCGTAGATGACAGGTACCAGTTATTTGTATTAAAAACATGAAAAAACTTGTGGTTGTAACCTTGATGGCAAGATGAGATAACTTGTCTGTAGGGTCATAATGAAATCTGGATCCATGAGTTATTTCATGGTTGGCATTGAATGTGTTAAATAGTTTGAGATAATTAGTAAAAAATTAATTGAATTTTTTTTAATTCTTTTTTTATTTATTTATTTATTTGGTTTGGGAGAGCTTCTTTTTTTTTTTTTTTTTTTACATATGATGTATTTTCGTTTGTGTCTAGATCCAAGAAATTGGTCAGAAACTGATGTGAAGAAATGGGTATTGACCAAGTTGAACAATTATGGCGTCTCTTTGGATACAGTCTGCTGGAATGCAATAAATGGTATAGGCTTGTGCTCTTATAGTAAAGAGGAGCTGATGACAAATCTTTGTAACTCAACGGCAGCCGAGATTATATACTCAGAACTAAAGAAATTAAAGAATGGTGAGTTGCAAACTGAATTTAAAAGAAATATCAAAATCATGATAGTGGGTGGGGGTTTTAAAAAAGAAAGGAAATGACTCCTGAGATGTTTTTTTTTCTCTCCTGTGGTTGCCAAACATTCTTAGTTAACACTTCTTAATTTTTCTGTTTATAAATGAATATTATTATTTATGTTATTTACATTTGGACTAACGTTCTCATCTTTGCTGATATTAACATAACATTTTGGCTGCTGTGCCCACTGGTATCCTTCAGGGATCTGTTAACCTGGATAACCTTGAGGCAATTTTAAACTAAACACTGTATTTAATCTACAGGGGTACAGTGTTCTAATCCTGCAGTCCATTTCTAGAGGATATTAAATCTTGTTTTTTTTTTTTTTTTTTTTTATACTATTCCATTGAGTCTAAATCTGTACTACCCTACCCAGGAATTGAACTTGCTATTTGTGTCACCAAATTCATATGCCAATGCTTTAATTCACTAGCTTAGTAGTACAGACTTAGACTCTGTGAAATCAGCGTGAATAAAAATTGAGCATTACTAAAAAGAACAAAATTATATATCCCTTGACATAGGCAGCACAATGTAGATTAAATAAAGGGTTTAAATTTCTGGAATGAAGTGTTATTGTTATTTACAATGAGACAATTATCCTCATCTTTTATTATCAAAACCTTTCAGCCACTGTGCTCTTCATCAGATGCTTGGATAACCTTCAGAAAACTTTGAACTCAACCTTTTATTCAGTCTACAAGGGTAGATTGTTTTTGTTCTGTTGATTATGCCTAGGAATATCTAGTTCTTAGTTCAGTTTGAAATTACCTGAAGGTTACTCTGGTTGATAAAAATGTGAAGATGGCCAGAGGGTGCAACAATTAAAACGTGATAATGGCAACAATAAGGATATTAGTCTGAATGTAAATAGTGACAACTTCTTAATCCAGAAATTTTGACAGAAATTATTGAATATTATTCTGTAAAAATATATGGACAAATTGGTAAATAGAAAAATGCATTTCTTTTTTACTACAAATTTCTATTACTAACTGTATTAACCAAAAGTCTATTATTGCCAAACCTGATTCTTATCTTTTCTCAAACTATTTTCTGCATGTCTCTCTTGTGAATAACATTTCCTTTAAAAACCTATCCATTAAATTGTCTTTATCAAATTTTATTTATCGACTACCATTACTTGATTTTATTAATGTCTAAACAAATATCTTTCAGATTTATAAAGAAGTCACTTTATCACAATGACAATATATGTTCAAATTTTTTTTTTCTTGTGTTTTCATTTATACAAAAACCATCCATCCTCTTTGGGCCCAATGTCCCTTAGGAGCTACAGCATTCTGGATAATCGTGGATGTGCAGGGGGTGTAATGTATTGTAGCTTGGAATGTGAAACTGGAAGGCCAGGATCAAATACCAATTGGATTTGTTACATTCACTTAGGTGCAAATATCCTTGAGAAAGGGATGAATCCATCTCCTCCCCCAGCTATGGCTTAAATAGTAGAACTTATATTTGAAAAAAATCATTGATATTCTTTAAAAAAATTGTTAATGCAATACTCATTTGTGAAGAAAGAAAAAATAATTATTTATGCAACCTGAAATTTTTTTCTTTTTTTTTTTTAATATTAATTTTCACCCAATACAAGGCCCAAGGGCCGCTCAAGGTAGAGGGTTACTGTGTGGTGTTGTATTAGTGTAAGAAAAGATCAAAACAGGAAAGATAGCTAATTCTAGAATTGAAGAAATCAAGATTTAATTAGTGAATAAAAGAAGACATTAGGCATATAGAGTTGAAGTAGACTTTAGAAGGAATGAGAAACCCAATCCTAAACAGGAAACAAGAGATAAACATCTACTCCTGTTCAAAAGATCGGCTTTTGCTTTAAATAACCTGCAAGAGATTGATGAAACATTAAAAAAAAACAAATCAATTAATAAACTACTAGATAATCACTCTCCAGTAGGATCATCTATAGTTGTTTATAATCCATTTTATTTTTTGTATCTGTATCCTAACCATCTTTCAAGTGGTTGGGTTTTGAATTCAGAATTGCTGGATTAAAGCCCCGTCATATTGATCAGCAAAGTCAAGCAATGTCAAGCCAGGTACCTAGTTGGGTGACCACTTAGGAATATCAGGAGCTGTAAGCATAGATGCGCATGTGGTATAGGAGATAATGGATCAGAATTGTTAATCGACGAGCCAAGTTCCACTTCAGGCTGAGTTCATTATATTCACTTAGGTACAAATATACTTGGGAAAGCTATGAATCCACCTCTTCTCCCACCAGCTATGGGTTAATTAGTAAGACTTGTATGATTTATACTATTATCTCCCCCACCAAAAAAAAATTCTTACAATCTAAAAAATATTTTCTAGCTTCAAATAACCTGCAATGTCATAGAAAACAAATCAATCAAATACTGATTAGTTACACAGGTATATCTTTTAGATTCATTTACATTCTCTGGAACATAAATGTATAGAAATTACCGTGGCCACAAAATGAAGAATTAGTTTATATATTGATTGTAATATAGAATTGATCCCCCAATTTATATCCATATTATAATTTTTTTTTTTTATTAATTTCTGATTAGGTATGAATCCACCTCCTCTTCCCCCCATCTATGGGTTAATTAGTAAAACGTGTATCACTTAAACCATTATTATCTAAAAGAAATTCTTACAATATAAAAATATATTCTGGCTTTAAATAACTTATAAAGACTTGATAATCTGTAAAAAATGAATGAATCAATCAATCAACCTAGAACTTGACAGCTTAAGCATAATATTCTTATTTCTTGCCTGCTGCAGCTAAAGACTTGCTGTTATTTCTCTATTAATTGCTCCCATATGGTATTTATTTCTATGCTGGACCTACTGAGAGGGTTTTTATGGCCCAACTGATTCCCATGTTCAAAATTGCCTGAAGATTTCTTGGATTGACAGAACATGAAGAAGACTTGAGGTCACAATGACTGGAATGTTTTGATTATGATCGCGATGATGGTATTAGTTCAAATGTGAATAAAAGAGAAACTGTATGAGAGAATTGGAGCAAACTGCCTCCTGCCTTGGAAACCATGTTTGTTGTCCTTTTTGTATTGCTATCCATACAAATTAACAATTCTAATGAAACTTTCTGCACTTCACTACCATATTTGCCAGCCTATACGATGTATGGCTACCCTATTACTCAGTGGAAAAGACGAGGCATGAATCTTCCCAAAAAACAACCCCATCTTCAGAGGTCTTGTTGTAAGCCAGATACAAAAATGAGTGTTCCTAAAACGGCCATCAGTGAAGTGTGCGTACACAATTTTGACAAAACAACAGGTGAATCCTCCAAAACTTTTTAAAACTCATCAACTTTCAATAAAATGTCTATATAAGAATTAATCTACTTACATTTATAAAAAAAAAGTATTTGGCACTACTTAATTTGAGTGGTCCACTTGTAAAACAAAAAACTAAATAAATAAAAAATAAAAATAAAAAATAATAAAATAATTCTGTTTTACTTATTAATAATTTCTCTAGATTAGCATTCATCAAAACACTGCATTTGTCAGGATCATAAAATATTTAATTTTTTATTTTAGAATAGGGGATCATGTTCATGATGAGGATGTGTAGGTGGTGTAATGGATAGCAACAGGGAGCAAGAAATCAGAGAGCTAAGTTCAAATTCCAGTCAAGTTCATTATATTCACTTATGCACAAATATCCTTGGGAAAAGTATGAATCCATCTTTTTTCCCCAACATCTATGGATTAAATAGTAGGACTTATATCTGGAAAAATCATTATCTCCAAAACAATTTTTTAATGCAATATTCACTTGCACAAAAAGAATTATTCTTACAATCAAAAATAAATTAAGTAACCCACAAAGGGTTGATAAACCATAAAAAACAAATCAATCAACTTGTTCATAATATAGTGTCAAATCAACCCCTGAGTTATCTGTACTTTGTTTTTATTTACAAATGTCAAGCTTGAAACCATTTATGTTATTGATAACTGCATATTGCTGATTTTGTCATTTTTCCCAATTTAAAAATTGCATTTATCAATGACAAGCACAGTTCCAAACTTGACATTTGTAAATAAAAACAAAGTACAGATAACTCTTTAAGAATTCAAAGATCAATTTGACACAGTATTTATATTATGAACAAGATCCCAACTTCTAAAATGAATTTAAAAAAAAACAATATTTTTTAGATTCTAACAAATGTTGTGGCATGAGAACAGTTTAAAGAATGCCAATATAGAAGAATTATTCCTCACAAGAATTTTCCCTTATTTTACAACTGGACCACTTAATTTGAGTAGTGCCTGCTATTTTAGAAGAAAGTTGTAGAAATATTTTTTGAGGCCCTCAATGCCTGACTCCTTTATTTTATGAAATCTCTATAAAATATGATTTTGACTAAAAAGAAAATTTAAATCTGTATAAAAAATATGTCCAGAGATATTAATTAGATTAAAATTTTATTCAAAATTGGAACATGAAATTTAAATGACTGTCCAGAATTTTTAAATGAAAGCTAAACTAAAACTGAAATATTTTTTGTTTAAAAAATTTCAGTTAATTTTTTTTATTTCATTTTTTTTTTTTTTTTTGATATATTTGGAGGCATGTGTCATTAAAGAAAAAAAGTATCTGCCTAAAAATTATTTTTTTAAAAGATTTATTCCTAAAAATTATTTTAATGTATTAAAATTGTATTATTATTTTGCCTGGACACTTCGGAAACATTAAAATAATGAAAATGTCAATGTTTCAATAAATGAGAAATGAAAGTGTTGGCAAAATTCAAAGGATACATATTTAAAATTATTAAATTCAGGCTGAAATGTAGGTCTTGTCATATCTAAAATGTATATTATCCGTCATGATATTCGATAAATAACATTTTTCAATTCAGCATGATGGAATAAAGATGAAAGTGCAAGCACAAAATAGACAGCAATAGGATGTGTGTTAGGCTCCCTCTACCAATACTATTGTAAAAATTGTCAAACAGGCTGGTAAATAGGGTAATAGAACACAATGTTGATATGATGTTTACTACAAGTGAAGTTGTTTTTAAATTTATGATCAATTGAAAGTTGTCAGGTGTGCAATAATTAAGTTTTATTTTCTATTTTCAATATTTTGCAGAATTTCAAATTCTTGACTGCCCAACGAATTTTGACTACAACTACTTCCCGCTGCAGAATACTATAATACCCACTCAGAAGCCAGAAACCTTTTACGCTATCAAGGATTACCTAAAACGTACGTCCTCTTCCACAGAACAATACTCAACAAAATTCAACTCAGACAGTAACGACAGTCTTAGTTCAGTCAGCATCAGTCCACCACCAATAACAGAAAACAAAACCAGTTTTAACCGTAAGTTTTATTTCTTTCATTTTTTTTATATCAACAAATATCACTGCTTTTTGATTGCTTATAATATTACATTATTTACAACTATCGCTATTTCCATGGCAAATGTTCTGGTGAGCTCGGTTCTTTAGCTCTACCAGCTTGGACCTTTATGGTTATACTCAACAATCAGATGGCAACCATCACTTAAAGAATTAAGTGGATACAAATGAAGATTTAAAATTGGCAAGGTTTTCCAGTTAAGAATTAGAATTCCTCAGAGAATTTAAAACCTATGAAACCCACAAAATTTATACAGGTGTTGATAGTTAATAAAACTTTATCAGAAAATAGTTAAATGCTAAAGAACAAAACATATATTTTTTTATTTTCATTCTGTTGAGTTAGCTTGGACATTCATGAGTCTATTGTGCCAACGGAAGGTCATTAGAGAGGCATTCTGCATCATGACATGGTCAATGTAGATGGTTGCTGAGCAACCAACTTATCTTGATCCATGGCTAGGTGTCCAGAACAGTAGATTACTCACAAGTTCTTGTTTTGCTTGTCAGCACTCTCCGGCAAAGCATATTCTGTGTTCATGTAAGATTGTAGAAATATGGATGGGTCCTTAGAACTGTGATTTAGTTGGATGTCATCACCAGGAGATGTTAAGTATGCCTCTCAACATCCAAGTGTAGGTTCCATCAATCTTATACTCTGGGGTTTTAGCTAATGTCCAGACAGTGGCACCATACATTAACACCGACTCTACAGTGGCTTGTAGGAATCTAAACTTGAGATTGTCTGGTAGATCTGATTTCCAGATGACATCCATTTTATTCAAGATGGCTCAGGCTATGTCAGTTTTCACATTCATTCTAGTAGAATTTATCTTGTTTCCTTGGTATATAAAAGATTCAACAGATTTTATTGATTCATCTGAGGCAGTTTGTATTGAACTTTGCTGGTTGAAGCCTATAAAAAAAAACCCGAATAAACAAAAAATAAATGTTTGTATTGACTGTATTTTTTTTCTTTTTTTCTACCAGATGCAGAAACAAAAATTACCAGACACAAACAGAACATTCATCTCTGGCAATTTTTGAAGGAGTTACTGCGGGAAGCCGACAAACATAATAATTGTATCAGATGGCTTAGCAACAAAGATGGCATTTTCAAAATCGAAGATTCTGCTCATGTTGCTAGGTTATGGGGTCAGCGCAAGAACCGACCAGCTATGAATTATGACAAACTCAGTCGATCTCTCCGCCAGTATTATAAGAAAGGAATTATAAAGAAGACAATTGCTTCCAAACGGCTGGTTTACCAATTTGGTGCTTGCTACTTGTAAAATTTTTTTTGTATCTTTTTGTTCTTGATGATCCCAAGAGTAGCCAAGCTAACATTTTTGTTTGTCACAGAATTTGATTTCTGTACTTGTTCAAATGTTTTTTTGAACTTGTGGTGACAAATGTTTATGTTCACTGAATTTCCTTCAAAGTCTTCAGAATTTGCACAAATGATGTAAAGCAAAAGACAAACCAGAGGAAATGTGAGCAGAATTTCAAGTAGAGAATTTGAGGTGGCCATTTTTGTTTGACAGTCTGCAACTTTCTCTACTTATTTGAAAGAAAGTCAGATTTAAGCTGAAACAAATCAATTTTCTTTCAGGTTATTTCCAATATGGAAACAGAAAAAAATTTTTGAACAAAATTTTTTTTTTTTGTTTTTTCAAACCACACATTCCAGAATTTAGAGGAAAATATTTGCTCAAAAATTTCTACCCACCCCATTATAAACAATAAGCATGTATTTCATTGTTACTTTCATTTAAAAAAAATTTGAAAATAGTGGAGGACAGGCATCCTCCACCAGCAAAATGTGATTGCACCAAAAGGGGAAAGATGTCTGAATCAAAAAAATTTCTAATCAGGCAAGGCTGGGTTTTAGTTTGATCTCAATTCAATTTTTATCTCTTCAAATGCTGCATCCAAAACTTTAAAAAGAGATAAAAAAAAAGTAAACTTTTTAATGATTCTATATTTTTTTTAAATATTAGAAGAAATCTAATCCTTTATAATTAACTGACATCTAGATATTAAAACAATAAATAATGAGGATTTTATTTTCCTACTTAATACTGTCACTGAAGAATTTTAAACAGATCTTTAAAAAAAATTTTTTTCCAATTCAACAACTGATTATAGAATTTTCTTCTTAACTATAAAATTTCTATCTCACTGGTTATACTTGAAATATGAGGAATACTGAAAACATTTCCCCAAAATCTGATCAAGTATTTTCTTCAGAGCTACTAAGTAACTTTTCAGCAAGCCCTCAATTAAAACACAAGTCAAACATGTTAATAAAATTGTTTGTTTCATCTTTTTGTGAACACCATATCTCACTCTGTTTTTTTTTTTTCACAAAAGACTGTTCACAAATCAATTAAAACTTATAAAATTATTAAAGCTTTTATTTGGATTAGAGGATATTTTTAAAAGTCTATTTATCACTATAATTTTACTTGTTTAAGCAACATTCTTTTAAACTATGTTTTATTACACTGTAAACATGTTTTGCATATGAATATGCATACAAGTTATAGTTGCATGAGTTCATAAATTCGTATTATGAGTTAAAGGGCAATCTACAAAAATATATGGTAATATTATTTACAAGGTAAGTCTATTTTTACAATCACACACACACACACACACACATATATATATATATATATATATATATATATATATATATATATATATATTATGTGTGTGTGCATCTTTGTAGGATGCATAATAGTATCCAAAACAGATGTGGCAATAAGACAAAATGGAAAATCTTATAAATGATGCATATCATCAACACCTGTTGAAGTCAGGTCCTTCATGTAAGAATGAAAGACAAAACTGTGTTAGGAAAATGCATTGGGGTTTTTGAGGATAAGATGGACAATAAATTAAATTACCTTATCAGATCGAGTAACCAGTTGTCTATATATATATATATATATATATATATATATATATATATATATATATATATATATATATATATGTATGTATGTATATATATATATATATATATATATATATATATATATATATATATATATAATTTTAGGTCTATTGGATTTTAAAATGGCCCTCCACCAAAAAGAAAACCTTTCTGGTGTCAGTGGGCTAATTTAAAATCCAACATCTAAAATCTTCATTTTTTTTTTTTTTTTTTGTGGTGGTGGTGGGGGGGGCGGATTTAAAAATACAAAACATCAATGGCTTTAAACAAACAAACACATTCTAATTTGTGGTCATGGGATCTGATAAGGTAATATAATTTATTGTCCCACAATACATTTTGTCTTTCATTCTGACCTGAAGAAGCCAAGAACAACAGACATTGGCGAAACATATCATTTATAAGATTTTTACATTTTGCCACATGATCTCTACATATACATTTTAAAACCCAAGGCCTTAGAGCTGAAGTTGCTTTTTGGTATATGTTTATATATACTTACAATTGTCCAACCCATGAATGCAGGTAAAATATTTAGCAAACATGAGTTGAACAGCTGTAAGTATGTATATACCAAAAAGCAACTAGTTATCAAAAACTAGTACAAATTGAAATATCTCAGGGAAGCTTGCTTCCATTCTGAGATATCAATTTTAAAGGTATATCATGTTATATACTATAATATAAAAATTGAAATGAATACTTTTACATTATATAAATCACACAAACACACACACACACACACACACACACACAGGTTGACCATCACTAATTTGTTGAATGAGTGATTTTTGCCTGATTTTCTGTTTTTGTATAAAGCAATGTTTCCCAACATTTTCTTCCTTGTGATCCATTTTTGGTGTCAACATAAATTTCAAGCCGACATAAGCACATGTAGAAATTCCATGTGTTTTATTTATAAAAGCAAAATGTAGTAGAAAATACAAATCCTAACAAATGAAATGCTGCTCTTGGTGTTTATCTAGCCGCTTGTCAAATTGAATTTCCAAGACATGATTCAGCTTCAGGTGTAAGATTCTTTGCCCATTTTAAAAATTTATCAGGCCACTTGTGCACCTAAGGGAGCCATTTGTGTAAAACATACAAATTTCACACAGGCTCATTGTTGGCAAGATATTTTTTTTTCTTCCAATGTTTTGTCTTATGTTATAGACAACTTACAAGGCTTTGTATTCATGCCACATGAAACACTTCCTGTATTCAATGGAACAATAACTAGGGCTAGACATAAACAGGTTAAATGCACAAAAGACAAATAGAAAAGCTTTAACAAATGCTGAAAGTGCTCAAAAACAACTTGTGCAGCAACTAGAACCAGCAAACAGCAAGTCCGTTCAGTTATCTGGGAAATCTGAAATTGTTTTTGTGGAAATGAGTGGCAGATTAATGATTGGAACAGATTGCCAGATTGGTGATGGCAAACCTATATCAGATATATATATAGATATATATATATATATATATATATATATATATATATATATATTACTTCAAATGTTTTTATAGTGGATACTCATATTGCAATAACTGTAATATTTTTACTTTAAACTGTAAGTATTACACCTGTCTGAGTATTTGAGAAACCTTAATGAAAAGAATGTGCTCTCCAACAGAAATTGAGCCTACATGCCCCGTTGAAAGAAAAACCATGGTTTGATCTGGTGTGCTTTATTACATGCCTATAAAGAGCTCTGGCATACGTCACAGTATGGCAGAGCTCTTTATCTGAATGGAGAACATTAAGTGAAGTAAATTTAATGCCTAATAAGCAAAAGTGAGTAAATGCCTTTATGTAATACTGTGCTTAAAGGAAAAATAAAAATATGGCATCTATTTCAGAGATGAGTATCCATTATAATAATGTTTGAAATAATAAAAATATTGGATTAAAAACAAATCCATTAATTCCTTAGAAATAATAGTGTCATATAATAGATCATTTGCATTTAATTATCCCAGTTACCCTTCTGGTTTTATTCAAATTTGCAATTTTCTTTTTCTCTCTCAAGAACATTAATGAGCAAATATGAAACCTGATTATGTCCTTTTTTTTTTTTTCTTTCTTTCTTTAAAACACTATCATCTAAAACTTATTATTGTTGTTACTTAAAACATTTTTAATCTGGTATAAAACACCAGATCATCTTTTGTTGTTATCATTTATCAAAACCTATAAATACAGTTGTTATATAAATGTTTTAACTGTTATTATTATTTTTTTTTTGAATATCTGATGTATCTCAAATCTTTTCCCCCATTTGATAAACTGAAAATCGAATTGACTTAAAAAGTTTGCACAAAAGCAGAGTAGAGGGAGAATAACCAAAATTTTATAAGTAAATTCTAACAAACATCATTTATACACCAATCTGAATATATATATATATATATATATATATATATATATATATATATATATATATATATAAATAAACTGTAAATATTATTTTTAGTCAGTAGATGAGTTTGAGTTGACATCTCTGTTATTTCAAATGATGAGATTGACAAATGACCTAGAAATTGTGCTTCCTGACAGCAATCAAAACTTGTATTCTCTTTTTTCACTTTGTTTAATCATTTGTTAATTCATGTCATTGTGGTCTAATTTTTTTTTTTTTTTTTAATCTGTCTCACCCCAAGCAATCCAGTACAACCACTGGCACACAAAGGCTTACAGGGTGTGGAGGAATTAGGAACAGAAACCTTAGTAATAAGGAGAAAGAAAAGAGCAATCAAGAGAATAGTAGATAGTGATTGACATTGCATTTCAATTTTTGCAATAAAAGGGGTACATTTTGTCTAAAGGAGTGGTTTCCATGATGACAAAAGGGAATACAGGTTCAATTTCTGTCAAGTCACACATTTTTCACTAGTTAGGGCTTCTTGATCTCTAGGCCACTTGACATTTCACTGTTTAAAATAAAAAACTGTCTGAACAACTGTGTACATCCTCTGAAAATCACATCTACAATAATAAGAAATAATGTTTGATTAGAAAAAAAAAATATATATATATATATATAAAAAGTCTTGCATAATTAAAATCTGACTGAAAGCATAATAATTATTAAATGAGATGAGCTTGTCTTCAATATTTGCTTGACAAATAAGTCCTGAATGCTGGTATTGTTACTTTTTTAAATGGTCCTTGCATGACCAATTTTTAAGCTGAATTTTACTTGATTGTTAAGACGTGTTTTTGCACTTGAGTTTTATTTTTTAAAGAAAAAAATTTTAAACATTTTTTTTGTTTATTATTATATTTAACTTTTTCAGTTTAACTTTCTACAATTTTCTTTTTGTTTATTT